GCTATGGCCCGGGCTTTAGTTGAGCACATCTTCACTATATTGACGTGAGTTAAGGACGTCTGGGAAATGCACGTCCAGTTCTCGATCCAAAACAACATTTGTCGCTCACTATCGATGGCAATGTCCACCGGTTTTGAGACATTTGTCAAGAAATTGCTAATCACTTGTCGCTCGATATCGAAGACATCGATTCGAGAAAATTGAAATAATGCTAAATAAATAGTTTTATTCAAAGAATTGACGGCTAGTCTTAAATGAGATCCAAAATCAGTTGTAAATAAAGGCTTTGTTTGAGATAATTGAATGGTTTGATTTGGGGTGAAGTCAATGGCCGACGTGTACACTGTTTTGGTGGTCAGTTCGGCCCAAACCAAGACATTCACACAATGGTCTTCGGAGGCATAAAAGTCAATTGCAGTTAATTTCCTGTCATTCGATGCATTCACTGAATCCAAGACATCAATTGTTTTGGACGAATGAAGCGCTGAGTTTGATGTCCAGTATTTCATCGTTTGCCACGAACTCAGGAAAATCACATCTTCAGCTGGAAGTGCATCAAAAATATTACAATTAATCAATTTTAATGTATTAATCTATAAATATTGCAAATGACAAGCAATTAATTATTGTTTTGTGTTAAGCAATAGATATATATTAAGCGATTTGTCAAATCTGTTGTATTAAATTAAATTATGTTGTAATTAAGTATAAAATCTAGTTTGTGCTTTCGCTTATAAGTTATAATACAGTATTGCTATAAACATTATAATATAATTATTATATAATTTATATATCAAAAAATTGTTACAAATTAATTCTAAAACAACTAATTTTTATACATAATCATAAGTAATATTAGTTTTGCTAATTCTTGCAATCAATATATTCATCTCATTTTATTTTTGCAAAACTTTATTTCAATAACAAATTATTAATTCAATAATATATTAATAATATTATAATTCCGATAAATATTGAATAATTTTAGACAATTTTAACGACAAATAACTAAAAGAAAGTTTACAACTATTTTTAATACAATTTAAAATACAATTTATTATTTTAAAAATCAAAAACAAAGTTATAAAACATTTGAAAATTTCATAATCCATTACATAATTAATAAATTGTAATTTATATGTAATATAAGACAGAATAACAACTGCTTTTGGCGGAAAGTATTTCTCGTAATAATTTAATTAATTAATGGTTAAAAATATGTTTTAAAGGCATAACAAATTGCATTTAAGTCTAAGAGACCGACCAAATGTCATAAATTAATTTTTTTAACAACTTTTTAACACATTATTGATAAAAATTGCGATAAATAACTGAAAATTAAATTGTTTTAAATTAAAATATTCATACAATGAACGCTACGTTAAGAGTATATTTCTCTCGATATTACGTAAACTAAATCATGATTTTGATAATTAAATGCCAAACAGTTGTATGAAATTTTTTAATGCATTACTAATTAACTCAATTAAAACCTATTTATATATTAAGTTAATTATTCGTATAATTATAGGAAACACCGGATTATTGTACGACTAATAACGTGTAAATTAGACTCAAATGTAAAATTATAACTAAACAATCATTAAATTGGGGCCAAAAATGCTTTCATAACCAATATTAAGATATTTGTCTTGAATTACAAGTAAATAAATTGTAATTAATTTAATAGATTAATTGACCCATTATTTTGCCAAATATTCACTACAATTACATATAAATGCCATTAAATAAATAAAATCAAAAGTTGTTTTCATTCAAATAAAAATCTAATCATTTTATAAAATGTGTTACAATTTTGTGTACAAATTGAATCCAATGTTAAGTTAATGTCACATAAAATATTCAATTCACAGCTCTCTCTCTCTCTCTCTCTCTCTAATCGTAAACTTAATGATAAGATTGTATTAATTAAAACACATGTTTAAAATCGCAAATTGAGTTCAAATCGGAGCAAATAAACCAAAACAAGTGATAACGAGTCAAACAAAACATTGGTTTTAAAAATATTATTAAAAAATAAGCGCTAAATATAGCGAAAAACAAATACAATTCAATTGCACTTACAGTCTATGGGATTGGCGTCCAATACAGGGCACCGGGAGGTGAATGAGGAGGCATTGGATGTATTGGTGGATGAAATGGTGATCATCTGGTGATTATCATTGGCCACAACACCACCCGTGAGCACAGCTCTCAATGATATGACTTGTATGACAACTAATACGGCAAATGCGGACAATCGGTGGCCAATGGTTTGCATCATAAATGTTATGTAATGTGAATCACGATATGCTGTATAACTGTATTAAAGTGAATGCAATAGTGCTGTGAATGCTGTGAACGCAATGCATGTGAGAGTCTGTTTGAATGTTACGTGACTTACGATTCTCTAAATAGCGTTCAAAACATGCATTCAATGCGAGAGAAATTCATACAAAACCTGAACTCAAAAACAGCAATACTGTCGACATATACGGCTCAGTTCGCGCCGCACTCGCTGTACTTCACGAGTATGTTATCCAATGCGCTGTCAGTACTCTATATCCGACACGAATTGCGTGACGTTTTTGATGACATCGCGCGTCAATTGACGGCTATATTTGAGGTCATGTGAAGGTGTGTTGCGCTCATTGGCTGACACGTGGGGTCACGTGAGAAGCACATGAGGGGGTGATCCAGGGTTTGGGTGCCCTTTAAATCGGTGTCACGTTTTGATGGTTTGTTTGTTTGGCTTTTTATTTACAACAAAACTCTTTGCTCTCAATAAATAAGTTTGGCTTTCATTTCAATAATTTTTTTGATAAACGCATGGCTTGTGGGCTGAGAGGAGGCGCCCCTTTGGGTGGACACAGGCCTCCACTTCCACCTCAAAACAACACTTTGAATGCTATATTCACTGATAGACTCGTTATTATCAATAATGATATTTTTATGCAATTTTGTTATCGATTACAACATTAACGCTAGATATCAGTCATATTGCCATCAGATATGTGTTATAACTTATAAAACGATTAGTTTATAAAATGTAACAAATATTATGAATTCAATTTCCTATAAACACCGCTATTATGGTATGAAATGGATGTCACTTTCATTTGACACTTCACTTCCCATTTGTCTGTATATATGGTATGAAACTGTAAAGCGATTTATTGTGAAACTATCGGATAAATTGAATCTTACGTTACATTGAATTTTAAACAACAAGTGAATCGACAGTATATGCGGTCTATTGTTAACTAAATTAAGTCTTATTATAGTTATGTCATTCATATAGAC